TTCCTCGCACGGCGCTCCCCAGTGCACATCTAGGAAGAGTCTGCAGCACGACTCAAAAAACTCGAAAAAACACGTTTTCACGGTTCCGCCAAGTGTTTGGATAGTAATACTGCGCCTACGGACCTCAGAATTCACTGGCAGACGCGAAAAAACCCACTACGGGTGCGAAAAATACCAATTCTCAAAACAAATGTTGAAATCTCTCACAAAGATCGTCCAACCGACCCAAAGTTCGCACATTGTCCGTCGGGGCCGGGTCGGCCAACTGGGCGCCGGCGGTAAACCGTCAACCTTTGTTACCGCCGGGAGACTCGTAGAGCTCCCTAACAGTATATAATGTGGAAAAAAATCCAGAATTTCAGCCCAAGCCAGACCTCTCAAGATAACTCTGGCAGATAAACGAACAGTTTGAAACCGAGCTCGAGTGTCAAACCGAGTTCAGACCTCTGAATGCGACAGGCGGACGCGTCTGATGTCTGTGGATCGACTCCTGTGATTACCAGCCCTGCAGCCCCCCTACAGCCCGAGTTAAGTGCAGAAACCGACAGCAACTCTCAGGATGACTTGATAGTTTCGCGGAGCTAGTTCGAGCAGCAGACCGAGTTCCGCGCTCTCGGTTCGACAGACGGACGCGCCTGATGTCTTCAAATCGATTTCCGTGACCAGCAGCACTGTAGCCCTCCCCCAGCACGAGTTAAGTCCAGAAAACCGAGAGCACTTCTGAAGATGACTCGAACAATACGAATAGTTTCGCGGAGCTAGCTCGGGCAGCAGGCCGAGTTCAGAGCTCTCGATTGAACAGACGAACGCGCCTGGTGATGCCCAATCGATTTCTGTCACTATCAGCTCTGTAACTGCCCTACAGCTCGAGCTAAGTACAGAAAACCGAGAGCGTCTGCTACGATGACTCGAATAATACGAATAGGTTTGCGAACCTAGCTCGGCTAGCAGACCGAGTTCAGACCTCTGGATTCAACAGCCGAACGCGCCTAATCATTCTGAATCGATTAGCTGTGCTTACCAGCTCTGTAGCTGTCCTGAAGCTCGAGTTATCTTGAGAAAACCGACAGCGCGCATCAAGATGACTCGAAACGGCCGATCCCGCCGGAGTGCTTTTTGGCAGTAAAAGGTACCCGATCGAGCTGAGATCAAGATGGCGAGCGGGAATGAGATCGAATATCACGGGAAAAAGATATTAGAGCTCAAACGAATTGTTGAATTTCGAGAACAAAATTTTCAACCGACCAAAAGTCACCAAAAGGTCCGTCGAGATTTTTCTTGTCAACTAGCTCTCCAGCGCCCCAGAATTACTCTTAAGCTTCCAGCAAGAACTTGCTAAGGGAAGCTCTACGAGTTACTAGCTCCACCCCGCGCCCGACTTCCTCGAGCTCATCGATGCCGAAGAGCTCTACGAGGTACTGTGTAGCGCCCAAAACCCGGAAGCGACTGGAACCGGCGGTAAACCGTCAACCTGGTTACTGTCGGGAACCTCGTAGAGCTCTTTTATTGCACGGCGATCGTCGGAACAAGGAGAGAAAGCTTCTGGAGCGAGAAAGAAAAAACTCAAAAAAACACGTTTTCTGCTTTTACTCAACGTCGGTTCCCCCAAGTCTTCTGATAGTAATACTGCATCTACAGACCTGAAAATTTTACTGGCAGACGCGGCAAAACCCACTACAGATGCGAAAAATCTGGTTTCTCAAAATGAATTGTCAAATATCTTTCAAAAAATTGCAAAACCACCCAAAAGTTATGACTTTGTCCTTTCTGGCCGGGTCGACCAACTGGACGCCGGCGGTAAACCGTCAACCTGGTCACCGCCGGGGACCTCGTAGAGCTCCCCCCGCCAAGGATGGTTCCCACACGGCCCCAGAAGGATGCAACAGGCAACCAGGCATGGGAGGCTCCGAAAGGCCACCAAATTCCCCCCCCCTCCTGCTCCCTACCCTCGTCCTCTCCGCACGTGTTCCTCAAGGGTTTCAGCAATGGTTTAGCAAACACACAACACAATATCTTCGTCAATGTTTGCCCCAACTTTCGGCCACATTGGCACTTCCAAACAGCAGGGCGCGGCGTCGGTTCGCCTTAGGCGTCTTCGATACTGGGGGAGGCGGGAGGGGGGCACGGCCTGCAATTTTCTGCGCTCGAGCGCGCGCGCCGCTGGGATACTTGGCCGCTGCCGCAGAACCTCGCCCCCCGCGCGCCGGCGCCCGCCGCGCGGCGGCGCGGAGTACCGTGCATGGAGCGACGACACTTCCTTAAAACACAATCGGAACCAGGGCCGTTGCGCCAAGAGTGACGACTGGCAACCGCCCGCCAATCGGAAGAAGTAGAATAAGTGCACGAGCGCACGCGTGTGTGCATGTTACGCTCACTCAGACACGCACATACACACATACGCCTACACATGAACGCACGTGCTTACAATACATACTGCACCAGGCGCACACTTGCGTGCATATATACACATAGACATGCGCACACACCTACGTATGCGCAC